AATGAAGTTGGTTGTATGCCAACTGTTTGGAAATATTTATTTACTGATCCAAAATTATTTAAAACATTATTAATGGAACCATCAGTTGCATATCAATATCGTTTAATTGGACCAAATAAATGGAAAGGTGCAAGAGATGCACAAATTAATGCTATCGATAGAATACAAGCTGCATTGGAAACAAATAAAATTTATACGGAAAAAAATCAAACCAAATCACTTCGTTCATCATTAACATCAACAATATTTATGACAATAATCGTTGGTTTATTAATGTTTGTTATGTTTATTCGTCGTTCGTTAAATGTTTGATAAATTTTTTTGTTAACCTGAAAAATTAGCTCAATTAACCCGTTTTTGTTTTTTTTTAATTTTAATTTTAAAAATTTTTAAATAAATTTTATTTTTTGATAATCTTGATCTGCGGATCAATGTTTAATAACAAACGCATTACATTAATTACAATTTATAGATTTCCTTTTCGACACTTTTCGGTAGATAACCATCGGATATATATTCCCCGGAAATTGATAAATTACTTGTGGCTGTTGTTGATCTATTTTGTAACAGAATCAATAACAATAATGATTAAAAAAAAGTAATTGAATAAAACTTTACAAACAAACAAACAATATAAAATGAATGAAACAAACCAAATATCATCATTATCGTTATCCTTTTGATTGATTTTCTCTTGATTTCGATAATATTGATAATATGGCTTTATATTTGATGAAAATCAATTGTCGATAATGATGATGGTAATGAGGATGATGATGATGATGATCCAAATGTATTTTCATCACTATAATGAATATATAGATAACCATCATTATCTTGATATTGGCGATATAATTCTCCAATCAAACATCTATTATATGTAAATTTGGGAAAAAAGAAACAGAAAAACAGAATGAGAAAAACCCAATATAATGAATGAATTAAAACAAATGTAAAGAATATCGACCAAAAGTAAATATATTACTAAAAGATATTGCGCGTATATATTTTATAAAATGAAAAATGATTATATTCTGAACTTTTTCTGCTTTGTTGTTTGGTGGATCGATAA